ACCCTTAATCTTGGAGTGTTTCACAGCGCAACATTTCTTATTCAGCTGGCTCTGAGCTTTAAATTTTACCCAGTTTAGGATACTTTCAACAATGCCACAGCCAACTGCCTGCAATACAAAACCCAAGCCCAAACAGCTGTGGGAAAAGCCGCAACAGTGATGGAATTTTTGGCTACAAAGTTTTACAGACATCCTGGTTGTCCGTGTATGTCAGTACTTACACCCTTAATGAATTTTTCACTCAGTTTACAGGTGGACCCAAAGCTCTTTGCCTGCAGAGTCATGTTCTCCTTAGTCTGAGAGTCAAAGGTTGGGTTTTCAATTAAGGCATTCACAAAAATCCACATGTGGTTCTTCACCTGTAGTTAAACACAGCAAGGATCACACACTGTACAGGCTCAGCTCACCCATCAATCACACAGTGAGGAAAGACTCAGTTATCACTGCAGGGTTTGGAATTTTCCTAAATGTTCTGGAAGAATTTTGGACAGCTAATGAACATTCATGAGCAATGTTAGATGATTTGGGATCTCAAGGAATTGGCATCTCTCAGCCTAAATGGGTGTTTTCTAACAGATACTGGGGTTTACTGCGTATACACTGACTTAAGAGTGACTACAAAATACATCAGCAAAGCAAAGAGAATTGGCTTGAACTAGACAATGTGAGACTTCTATAATCAGCAATCTTATATCTACTATCTGTACAAAGGAAATGTGTTATTAATCAAATCAACACAGTTATGCATTAAGCTGGAGTCACAATTTGCAGTAACACTCGAGTTGTGTTTCCCACTGTGGAAATTCTGATGTTGTACCTGGAAAGGCTTCACCCCAACTCCATTTTTGTTCTTCTTTTTCACAACATCAATGAGTTTGTTCACGATCTGGTCAGCAACGTAATCAACGTGCCTGCCACCCTAAAGGAAACAGGACAAGGACTCAGGGTGAGGCCATTAAACCCCACAAAACTGCACATATCTATTTAAAACTTTTAGCATAGTCTTTGCAATATTAACTATTTTTTACTAGAATACATACACTTAGAAATAGCCAAGAATATTAACGCTGAAGAATTTGGCACTGGCTTGACTAAATACACTGAGAGGTTACCTTTGTGGTGGCAATGCTGTTGACAAAGCTGACTTGCTGGAAGCCTTTCTCACTCAAAGTCAAACACACTTCCCACCGGGAATTGACTTCCTCGTGGATAACCTTAAGTGCATTCCCAGTTTCATCGACCTTATCCTTCAGATAGAGGTCCACATAGCTGCGGAATCCTTTCACCTGCACACGGATGAGAGCAGACAACTGGTTGATAACAGCTCCCATAAATACTTAATGCACATCCTCCTGCAAAGTGGGTACAGGAATGTCTCCTGATGACAGGAATGGCTTTGACACAACCTCACTGGTTAAATGGCACGAGAAATGCAGATATTTGCGTTTCTTTTCATTGCTCACTTACAGGCAGCCTCTGTCCATTCAGGAAAACTTTGACATCCTTTGTGGACCCAGCAATATCATACACTCTTCGAGACATCAGTGCTACGATGTCCTTATCCAGAACTGTCATTTTGAATTTGGACAGATCAGGTTGGAAAGTGACACAGGTGTAATCGTCTCCATCAAAGTATTTCAGCTTCATTTCTCCAGCCTTTCCCATGTTGTCTGTCCAGGTCTGAGGAAAGGAGCTTTTGTGAGATGCAAGTCAAGCACACACAAGTAACTACTGCAGTTTTTAAAAACAGTAAGCTGGTTTGAGTTTTAGATACTTTCAAATTTAATAAAAACTCTGGTTGAAAACCAGATTTTGGTGCTGTCTGCTAATTTCACTGTTCCTTTGAATTATGTTTTGTGGGTCAAATTTACTCTAAACATAATGCACTGAAGGTTTGCCTAGATTTTTGAAACAAAACCTGAGGGTCTCATCTGAAAACCTCAGGTATAACCTCTCTGAAATGAGAAGTGCTCCTACCTGCTTGAACAACTTTTTGTATTCACGACATCCAGTTTCCACAGTAAATTTCGTGCTGAATATGTTGCACAGTTTGGCTCCATAACCATTCCTCCCCCCTGGAATTAGAAGGAACACAGACTTGTATTACTATCTTTGTCCAAAACTATCCAAAAGAATCCCAGACTCACAGGAGTTTGGCCACTTCAGCACAATCCAAAGGCAACTGTCAACAAGCAACAATGTTCTACAAGCTCAGTATGCAACTTCTTCCCCACCTGTGACTTTCTTCTCGTTGTCATCGTAGTTGCTGGATGTCAGCAGCTGTCCAAAGATCAGAGCAGGCACATAGACCTTCTCCACTTTGTGTTCAACAACTGGGATACCTTTCCCGTTATTCCACACACTGATTGTGTTATTCTCTCTAGGAGGGGGAAAAAAAATCCAACACAAAAAAATGTGTTTTTAAGGCTGCAAATGACTGAGCTGTGAAGCAAGTTATAGAAAGGCTCTGGGGAAAGGCACCATTTCATCGGGAGCAAATCTGTGCTCAGCAAGTGCAGCAGCTGCCAGCAGAGGGGGGACAGGCAACACAGAAATCCCCAGATCTGCTCTAAAATAGACACACACACAAAACCCTCTGTCTGTGCTCAATCAGGATAAAAAGGCAGGAAGAGACGGAAAACAGCAGCAAGTAAAAAGCAGCCGTTTGCCCTGTCAGCCCTCTGTAAGAGACCAGGGGACTGAGCAAAGAGAAAGGCTTTCACAGCCAGTGGATTAAATTTGGGGTAACTCAGATCAGCCCCTGCAGTGCCACCCCAGCTTTGCAGAACAGCTGAGGGCAACGAACAACAATGAAATAAAACTTACACATCAATTGTGACTTTAATGCACGACATGTTTTTATCCCTCTGCTTGTTGTCTGCGGCGTTGACTAGAAAAAGAATATTGTTACTTTATTACATTCCAAATCAAGATAGAACTATGAAGTGTTTCAGTAGAATGAACACAAAAGATCAATGTAATGTCATTAATAATCATCTTGGCATGAAAATATTTTACAAATTGCAAAGTTCTACAAGTTATCACAGAATTATTCAGGTTGGAAATGACCTCTGAGGGCATCGAGTCCAACCATTAACAGAAAAGGGAGAAGTCTGGGGTGAATTAAATCAGGTTTGTAATTGGATTTTTGAAATTGGGGTGTTTTTTTTGTTTCCCACTTTGCTATTAAGTAGGGCTAATGAGTTCTTGATAAGTTCTTCTATTTAGATCCAGTTTCGTAGGCATTCAACCCCCGTTATTAACCTGCCACTCACTGACTCAGGAGATCTGTCACCTTACCCAGAATCTCATCAAAGATTTTGTACAAGCCAGGCACGAAGGTCACAGGTCTGCAGTTGAGGCCAACGTCTTCATCAAAAACCCACATTTGCTGGAAAAAAAGGAAGAACTTCATAAGTGCCCAGGGTACAGCCTCTCTTCTGTGCCACCCGTTTGTGAAGCAGATGTTTTGTGGTTGATAAGTAGATGTTTTGTGCTTTGTAACAGCTGTTAATGCCCCCCCCTCCAGCCCCGCCTGCCCTGAGGTGCTCGGGGGGCTCAGCCCCGCATCCCCCTGCCCCTTACCTGGGTGACCAGCTCCACGGAGCCGATGTAGGTGTCTGGCCGGAGCAGGATGTGCTCCAGCTGCGTCTTCTTCTGGTAGATGTGCTCCACCGAGAGCTTCTTGGGGCCATCGGCTTTGTGCGTCCGGGCGTTCTCGTTCGCGGGCTGTGAGGGGAGAGGGGAGGGCGAACGAGGGGTCAGGCCGGGGGAGAGGCCCGAGAGAACGGGGATGGGGGAAATCGCAGAGGAACGCGGGGCTGGGGGAAGCGGCGGCGAGAGGGGCTCGGGGAGACCCTGAGGGGGTTTTGGGGAGAACCTGAGGGAGCTCAGGGGCGGGAGGGGGAAGGTGTTGGGGAAGGCTCGGGGAGACCCTGAGGAGGGTTCGGCGACGGCTGAAGGGGCCTGGAAACACCTTGATAGGGCCCGGGATCACCCTGAGGGGGCCCAGGGAGACCCTGAGAGGGCCTTGGATCGCTGAGGGAGTCTGGGGGAGACTCTGAGGGGGCCCGGCGGGAGCTAAGGCGCGGCCCGGAACACCGAAGGGGACGATGACGGGGGGGGACCCGAAGGCCCGCGGGGTCGGGGGTCGCCGAGCAGGGTCGGTGTCGGTCGCCGGACTCACCCGGAGGGGCGAGACGGGCTCCGTGATCTCCATGACGGCGGCGGCTGAAGCGGCGATAGCGGCGCCAACGGTCCCTTCAAACCTCCGCTCGTCCCGCCGAAACGCTCCGCCAATCCCCGCCCGCGGGGCCCCGCGAACCGCCAATCGCAGCTCTGGGGCGGGAACACGGCTCGAGGGCCCTCCTGCCCTCTGTCCAATCAGAGGCCGCTCCGCGAATTCAAACCGGCCACTCGGGAGGGAGAGCGGCGGGACGGGCAGCGGGACCGGCCAATAGAGGAGCGAGGGGGGCGGGCACAGCGAGGGATCGTTACCTTTGGGGTAGGGACGGGATGGGACGGACTGGGACACACTGGGCGAGCCCGGGATGTACTGGGGTACACCGGGACACACTGGGCGAGCCCCAGGGACCCACGTGGATACACTGGGACACAGTGGGGATCACTGGGATACACTGGGACACACGGCGAGTCGAATCGCATCGCTGGCATACAGGGAACAGGCCCTGGGGACCCACTGGGACACACTGGGAATCACTGGGACATCCTGGTCGGTCCCATGGACACACTGGGACGCATAGGGATAGGATACACTCAGCTTCTGGGGACACAACACTGACCTCAGTGACATGGAGCCCTGTGCCATCACTGTCCCCTCCCAGATTCTACCAATCCCAAGTGGACTGGAGCCCACTCCCAACCCCTCCTCCAGCCCCTCTCCCCATTCCCAGGTGGCTGCATGTCCCCCTGGCCCCTCCCTGCAGCCAGCCATGTCCCCCCAGAGCAGAGCACAGCGTCATAAAAAACAACGTTTGCGTGTCTTTATTTTGGGGTGGTGACAGTGTTGGCACCACTGCGGGTGCAGGGAGGCTGTGGGCACAGCCTGGCATTGCCCCATGGCACGGGGGTCCGTGGGATGGCACAGACAGGGATGGCACAGCCCGGCTGTGGGGCTGGCATCCCCTCGTTGCTCCTGCACAGCCCCAACGCTGCCCACAGCGCTCCCAGGCCCACAGGGCTGCCTGGGCTGCGTGGCCCGGTGTCCCCGCTGTCACCACATGTGCCGGTAGGGAAAGGCCACCTCGACGCAGAGCACGGCCAGAGGTGTGGAGCAGTTGTGCCGGTGCCCGGCCAACAGCCGGCCCTGGCCCAGGGGGGTGGCCATGCCCTCGGCCGCGCCGGAGCCACGCCAGCCCTGGCAGTCCCGGCGCCGGGCATGGCCCCCCCGCGCCGTGGAGCCGTGCCAGGCCAGCCGGTGGGGCCTGTGGGTGGGCACGGGGTCAGTGGGGCACCTCGGGGCACCCCCAGCTCTTTGCTCCTGCGCTTGAGTGGGGAGGGACCCACCACAGCCCCCCCACTCCCCTCCCACGCCGGGGGGACAGTTCAGGACTCACCAGAGAGGATCCGTCAGGATGTTGCGCCCGTTGAAGGAGTAGATGGGACCCCGTGGGGTGGCACCAGGCTGACCCTCGAAGAGGGAGCTCCAGGACTTGGCCAGCAGCTGCCCCTGTGGGCACGGGCCATGGTGCTGAGCCGGGGGCCAGGGGGGTGCCCTTGTTCCCACCATGTGTGGGCAGTAACTTGCTCTCAGTTCTGGCAGCTCCCCAAAAACACCGGGCACAGCCGGGGTGCAGCAGCCCCAGAGCAGGACTGGGTGGGGGTCCCTCACCCACCACAGCTCACTGGGGCTGGAGGGGGGTTTGTCACTCGCAGCCCCTCCCGGGGACGGGGGTACCTGCCTTCAGGTTGACGATGGGGAGGGTCCTGTCTGTCCTCTTGACGATGGACACCAGATCCTGGGTGGGGGCCGACAGGAAGGCCCGGAAGGTGCCGTACAGCCCGGCCTCCTGGGACTGCCGGTAGCACTGCAGGTCGGCACCCCGGATCCCGCTCATGTCGCCCGAGAGGGGCACGTTGAGGGCGGCCAGGCGGAGCTGGGGGACAGCGGGGAGGTGTTGGGGCTCTGCTCCCTCCTTCCCGGGGGGTGCAAGGCTCCTGGGGGAGCTGGCCAGGATTGGGGGTCCCCTGGGCACCTCTGCCCTTTCTCCCACCCCCGGGGCCAGGCATTCCTTACGGATGGGATCCGTGGGGCGATGGTGGTTGGTGGGATTTGGGGCAGCCCTTGTCCCTCCTCCTTCTGGACCTGGAATAGCACAGCTCAGGTCAGTCTGGGGACACCCATCCCTGTGCCATGGGTGGGTGACACCCTCCCCAGACCAACACGACCCCATGCCAGGCTGTCACTGCCCTGCAGACATCCAGCCCACCCCCATGGCATGTCCCTCCCAGCATGGCTGGACCCTGAACAGGGCTCACCAGCGAGTCCATTGGGGACTGCACAGGTGACACTGTGTCGGGACCTCTTGTCTGCACCCGCTTTGCCTCCTGGATGGAAAGGAGAGGAGAGGGGGAAGAAGAGGGAGAGGACAGTCCCATGGTGTCTGTCCCCCTTGGCAGGCAGAGGAGGGCTCTATCCCCCTGCAGGGACATGAGCAGACCCTGCAGACCCCACATCTGCTCACACCCCCCTCACCTGGTACCGTGGGGTGGAGGCAGAAGGGTCGTCACCAGCCAAGACCGACCGCGAATCCTCCAGCTGCTCAATGACACGAGCAGAGGGACAGGTTAGGGGAAACCTGCTCCTTCACAGGGGTCTGCTGCCCCAGTGCCAAATCCAGCCCTGGATCCTGTCCCCCCAGCCCCTCGAGGGACCCCCACAGTACCAGGAGGCGGCTCCAGCCGGCGGGGGTCCGGAGGAAGGCGCTGCTCCCCTCCTGCACGTAGACCAGGCTCCCCTCGGGCACAGCACCGCTCGCCTTCACCATCAGCTCCTTGGACCTGAAGACCCACGTCTGGCGCTGGGGGGATGCAGAGGGTCAGGGCCCTGCTGTGGGGTCTGGGAGAGCTGGGGGGGCTCACCCATGGCCGCAGCCAGGACACACCCGGGGATCAGTGCGGCAGTCCGACGGCTCCGTCTGACGGGTGTCGGCATCTGGAGAGCCCAGAGAAGGTGGGGGCTCACAAGGTGTCCCAGCACAGGGCCTGGGTGCTCCCGTGGGAGCTGGCCCTGCAGGGACACGGGGGGAGTGGGTGAAAGCCAGCAGCGGTGCCAGGGACTGGTTCTGACACGGCCCCAGCACCCAGGGAGGGAGGCAAGACTTCAGCAAAGGTGTTTTCAGGAGGCTGGAGCCCCTGAAACACCTGGGAAACGCTCTCACCTGCTGCCCAACCTGGATCTGGGGCCGCCTGTGAAGGCAAATGGGGCTGTTACTCCTGCTGGGCACAAGGACAGGGACACCCTTCCCAGTGCACGGGGAGGGGATGGGGACTCTCAGGGACAGTGAGGCCATGTCTTACCGGCTGCTTGCAGGGGGGCTGGGCACGGACCGGGTACACCCTCTGGAAGCAAAGACAGGCAGGTTTGGGGGGGCCCTGGTGCTGTGCACACCCACATGTGTGTGTGCTCTGACACAGGCGTGTGCACACCCGCGCCGGGCCTTACGTTGAGGTAGAGGAGACCTGGTGGGCCAGGGGGGCCTGGGGGCCCAGGGGGGCCGGGGGGACCTCGAACACCCTGCAGGAGAGCAGTGTGGAGATCGGGCTGTTTTGGTGCTGCCTTTTGTAGGGCAGCTGTAAGACACCCCGCTGCTGCCCCTCATCCTTCCCGCTCCGGTTCCCTCCCAGGGCTGAACGTCCCCGGGCTGGGGCAGTGCAGACCCCAGCCAGGCAGTGACTCTCACATGGGGGATGATCGCTCCATAAATCTCTGGTTCCTCTTTGCTGTCCTGCAGAGGCAGAGGGAAAAGACTGAGACTGACCTCTATCCTCCAACCCTCCATCCTCCATTGCTCATTCTCCCCCTCTCCATCCTCCATTCCTCCACCCCAGCTGGGGCTATGGGCCCTGTGGGGTTGCTGGTGGGGTGATCCATGTCCCCAAGGCCGGGCTGGGGTCCCTTCCCCTGAGCACTCACCGTCTGGTACCCTCTGATGGACCCCCAGGAGCTGGGCTGGCTGCCGGTGCTGGGGAAGGGGAGGTGGCCCGGTTTGCACCCCTGTTCCCTGTAGCAGCACCCCTGGACGAGGCAAAGAGAGAGGCAGGATTAGAGCCTGAGCTGGGTGCTGGGGACAGGGACTGCTGGGTGCATGTGTGGGTGCACTGCGTGCTGGCACACGTATGCACACGTGTGTGCCCGTGTGCGTTCTCATGTGCCTCAGGGGACGGTGTCACTCGCCCCCCACCCTGTGCCTCAGCCCATTTGGGGTCTCTGGTGCTGCCTCCAGGGTGAGGAAAAGGGTGCTGAGGGAGCAGAGGCAGCACAGGGGACTCAGAGGTGCACACTCAGGTGTAGGGATGGGGACATCCCCCAGCCAGTTCCCCCCCGCCACTGCTCGTGGCTACAAACCGGCTCTCCGGGGTCGCCCTTTTCTCCCTGGAAGGAAAGTGAGAGATCCTGTCAGCAACCGGCTCTGGGGGTCCCCTGGCTCCCCAGCCCCCCTCATTGTGCTGTGCCTCATGCCCCAGGTACCACCCGCCCACTGCCAGGACCCCTGCCTGCAGTGCCCACTGCCTGTCTCACCCCCTGCCAGGACCCCTGCCTGCAGTGCCCACTGCCCATCTCACCCCTGCCAGGACCCCTGCCTGCAGTGCCCACTGCCCGGCTCACCCCTGCCTGCAGTGCCCACTGCTCAACTCACCCCCTGCCAGGACCCCTGCCCGCAGCGCCCACTGCCCGGCTCACCTTGGGGCCTGGCATCCCGGCCAATCCACGGTGTCCTCCATGGCGCAAGTCACACTGCAAGGAGAGGACATTGGGATAAACACGGGGTGCTCCCACCCAGCACCTGCAGCCCAGGACCCCCTACTCACCCTGTAGTCCCCCGGTGGTCCTGGAGGCCCCATGGGACCGGGCATGCCCGGGGGCCCTGTATCTCCAGTCCGGCCAGGGCTTCCTGGCATGCCTGGAAGTCCATATTCACCCTTCTCACCCTATGGGCACACGGCACAAGGTGGTGAGAGTGGGGGCTGAGCCTCCGTGTGCCCCCAGGCCCCACGGGGACAGGGCAGGGGCTGCCCCAGAGCCTTCCAAGGGCTCAGTGCTGGGGGCTGCTCCCCCGGGGCAGGGCGAGGGCCGGGTGAGCCCGGGTGCCCCGTCCCACCCCAGGGCCGTGGATGGGATGGGCTGGGACCCCCTTACCTTTAGTCCTGGGAATCCTGGCTCCCCTCTGAGCCCTGGTTTGCCAGGGAGTGACGCAGGTCCTGTAGGACCGGGGGGTCCTTCGTGCCCTGGCACCCCGGGGGGACCCTGAGGCCCTGGGAGCCCTGGTGCCCCCGGGGGTCCGTCTGGCCCAGCCGAGCCTGGAGACCCTGGAGTTCCTTCAGCCCCGGGGAAACCGGGTGGTCCCACAGCCCCTGGAGGGCCGGGGGGTCCTGGCTTTCCCTCCCGCCCAGGGACCCCCGGGGGGCCATCATGGCCTGGGTAGCCTGGGGGTCCGGGCATGCCGGGCAGCCCGGGGGGGCCGGGGGGTCCCGGGTTTCCCACAGGGCTGGAGGGTCCCAGCTGCTCGTCGGGTTGGAGAGAGAGGAGAGAGAGCAGGGTCAGTGAAACGCCGTGTCCCATGCCCTGGCCCCCTCCCCTGGGCTGCCCACCCGCACGGCCGCGTGTCCCAGCCCTGCCTGTCCCCGCCGGTCCCGCCGGGAGCGACACCGCGGGCAGCGCCGGCATCACCCGCCCGTGTCCCCGCCCCGGCGCTCACCTCGTTCTCCAATCCCTCGGGGAGGGCGGCAGGCGCGGGTGGGCTCCTGGATCCCCAGGTGCCTGGGGGTCCCGGGGGCCCCGGGGGCCCCGGAGGACCCGGGGGACCCCGGGGACCCTGGTGACCTGGCTGTCCTGGGCTGCCAGACTTCCCTCTGTCCCCTGAGATTCCGGGCTGGCCTCTCTCTCCGGGGAACCCTCGGTCACCTTTCTGTCCCTGTTGAGAAAAGACAGACCCTTGCTCCGGGCTCCTGGCACTTCCCTCCACTGGACCCCACCATGGGGACCTGCGGCCCCCCTGCCCGTGGCCACCTGAGTCACCCCCCAACTCAGACCCCAAAGCCACGTTCCAAATCCTGAGCAAAAAGGGTTTTGCACAGACAAAAGAGCATCCCGCAGCGTGTCTCTGTGGGTCCCCGCACACCCCTGCCCCTCCCTGGGAAGGACCAACCCACCTTTGGGCCGGGAGGGCCGGCAGGGCCGGGAGGACCGGGGCGCACAGGACAGACACAGCCAGAGCCATTGTGAACCTGGAGAGGGAGAGAGAGGTGGGCTGAGAGACCTGAGCCCGGCTGCTGGGTCCAACAGGGGTGCCCTGTGCCCACCCCTCACCTGGAGGGCAGGGTCCATCTCCGGGGCTGGGGGCACCTCCCGGGGCAGCGCCTTCGTTGTCGTCTGTGTGGAGGAGAGGAAGGGCTGAGTGTGAGACCCCAAGCACCATCCCTGTCCCTCCCTGCCAGTCCCTCCCGCTCGCCAGGGTGCCCATCCCAGGCTGTCCCTCTCCTCCCCCTGGGGACCAGGACCCCTCCACCACCTGGATCTGCAGGAACTCCTCTTCCACCGCGCTCCCCTCGAAGATCTCTGGGGTGGCCGTGGGTCGGTGCTGCTGGGGTGGACAGGGAGTGCTCAGTGTGGGGTTGGGGGACCTGCCCCCCGGGACCCTCCCTCAGTCGTGGCTGCCTCCAGCCCAGGGTGGGGGCCCAGCCCCAGCGCTGCCGTGGGGCTGTGCCATGTGGGGGACACCGGGAGCTGCTGTGGCTCCTTTCCAAGGGGAGTCACGCTCGGGGCCAGAGCAAGGCACAGTGCCCGGGCTGGTGTGTGCAGGCAGGGCACGGATAACGGGAAGGACATGGCAAGGTGCCCAGCAGCAGCTGGGGAGTTTTGGGAGGGCTGGAGGAGCTGGAAGGGGGGTGCTGCCCAGAGAAAGGCACCTGGCCTCGTGTTCGTGGTGGGGCATGGCCTGGCCCTTTTGCTGCTCCCCTGGCAAGGTGGTCCCGGCGTCTAGGGCCCTTCGCCAGAGGGGGTTTGCTCAGCAGCACCTTCCCCGTGGGCTCCATGCTGGTCTCTGCATCTGCAGGAACAAAGAGGTGATGGGGCAAAAGGTGGCAAGGCTGGAGAGGGGCTGGGGTGGCACAGCACTCCCAGTTCCCAGCACCTGCCATGGCCACAGCAGTGCCACCAGCAGCCCCAGACCCCAGCACCCCACACCTCACCCTCCACCCTCCAAGAACCCCCTCCACGCTGGGGTGCAGGAATTTGGGGTGCTGCCCCCATCGCACCCTACCTACCTTCCTCCCCATCCAGGGTGGGGGCAGTGAGGCTGGTGCCGGGATCCAGGGTGGTGTCCTCCGAGCCCAGGTAAAACCACTGGGCCGTGGCAGGGCACAGGTGCCAGGCCAGCACCAGGAGGATGCAGAGGGTGCGGAGGAGGCCTCGGGCACCGCCGGACCCCATGGCGCTGCCTCCGGGCCTGGCTGCTGCCCAGGATGGGGGTCCTTGGCTCATCCCGCTCCCTGCTCCGTCAGTGCCCGCGGCCCCGGCACGGCGCCCGCAGTTATCACGGCGGCCCCTGACACGCCCCTCGCCCGCCCCGGGACCCACACCCCACGGACCGCATCCGGCGGGTGCTGAGCACCGGGGCTGGGGGCACAGGGCTGTCCCGTCACAGGCAGGGAGCTGGGACACACCAAGCACCAAACACCAGCACCGAGCCCCCTCTGTGGCCACAGGGCTTTGGTTGGGGTGGGGGCAGCACGGCTGTGGGGGGCACCAGCCCAGCCCCGCTCCATCTCACAGGATGGTGCTGGGACAGGGACCTGGAGGAGCAGTGCCTGGGCAGAGGGGGTGACGCTGGTGCTGCCTCTGTCCGCAGACACAACAGCCTCCCCAGCGGGCGCGCGGCACTGCCAAGGCCTGATAAGGTGCTGCAGCCTGAGCGGGGCCGGGCACCTGTTTGGGTTTGGTCCCTACTGGGACACCGAGTCAAGGCTGGTGCCTCTGCCCTGAGTCATGGCCACAGTGCCAGGCAGAGCAGGGGCTCAGAGCAGCACCATGTGACGGTGCCTTATGGGGCCCCTGCCGGGGCTGAGAGGGGAGAAGGGGGGCTGGGGAGAGTGGGGGACACAGACCCTGCCTGTCCCTGTCCTGCCTGCCCTTGGCACTGTCCAGCTCACCTGCACAGGAGAGAGAAGGCTGTCCTGAGAGCACCTGTGGCAGTGCCATCAGTGCCACCCGTGCTGGCACTCAAGCCTCAAAATATCAGTTGGAGCATTGGATGTGCTCACCCATGACACAAGTTGGGGGTTCTCAGCCCAGGCCCTGCATTCCAGGCGGCTCTGCTCCCCTTATCCCACCCACTACACTGACCCCCACACCAGGGCCCCACAGGGCCACCCCTGCCATGTCCAAGACCTTCCTGCAGTGCCCATGACCCCCTTGCCGCACCCAGACGGGTTCCCCCGGCTGCCCCAAGTCCGGTGCTGGCTCAGATGCCCCAGGGCACATCTCGGGGGTCACCAGCCCCGGGTGATGCTCGGGGACCTTTCCCCGGGCACAGGGGCCTCTCCCCGCCATCTCCCGGCCTCCCGCCGAGCCGCCCCCGCACGGTGCTGCGGGGACTGGTGGGACCGTGGTCCCGGGGGGATGGCGGGGCTCCCTGGGGTCCCGCCCGCTCCCGCTTTTCCCGAGTAGCCACTAGGTGCCGGCAGCCCTCAACCTATCTCGGGCTGTGCGGGGCGGGGGCCGCGGGGGGCGCGGGTGCGGGAACCGGGGCCAGGTGGGCGCGGGGACCCGGCGGGGCCGTCCCGTGCAGACCGGGGACGAGCCGCCCGGGACGCTCCGTTGCCAGCAACGCTTTTGCTCCCGCCGCGGCCCCCCGCGTCCGGAGCCACCTTGGGGTTCTTGCCCGCATCCCCCGCGGTGCAGCCCCGCACGGTGTGTGTGTGTGTGTGTGTCCCCAGTTTATCCCCGTTGCTCTCGGGACCGGGCAGGGTGTCGGGGCGACGGGTGGTCTGCGAAGAGGCGCGGGGCCGGGAGGGCTCCGGGCCGGCTCTCCGCTCTGCCCGGCGCCGGAGCCGCCCCGCCGGTGGCCCCGCTGCTGAAGCCGCCGCCGGTGCCGGTGCGGCCGCCGCCCGGGGGGGAGCGTCGCTGCCCGGTGGGTCCCCGGTGGCGGCGGGGGCGGCCCCGCCGGTGGCCCCGGTGGCGGCGGCGGGAGGTGTGGCCAGGGGCCGCATAAAGCCGCATAAAGCGGCCGCCGCCGCCCCGCGCCCGCCGCCAGCCGAGCGCCGCGGAGCGGGGCCGGAGCGGGGCCGCCATGCGCCCGGGGCCGGGGCTGCCGGCGCTGCCGGTGCTGCCGGTGGTGCTGGCGCTGCTGGCGGCGGCGGCGCGGCCGGGCGGCGGCGAGGAGGCGATCCAGTGCCCGCCGTGCTCGGAGGAGCGGCTGGCGCGGTGCAAGGCGCCGCAGGGCTGCGCGGAGCTGGTGCGGGAGCCGGGCTGCGGGTGCTGCGCGACCTGCGCGCTGCCCCGCGGAACCCCCTGCGGCGTGTACACCGCGCGCTGCGGAGCGGGGCTGCGCTGCTACCCGCCCCGCGGAGAGCCCCGGCCCCTCCGCACCCTCATGCACGGCCAGGGCATCTGCACCGACCTGGCCGACGTCGAGGCCATCCAGGAGAGCCTCCACCCCCCAGGTGAGGCGGCGGAGCGGCGGCCGTGGGTGGGTGCCCGGGGTGGGTGCCCGGGGTGGGTGCCCGGGGGTCCTTTTCCCTGACAATGGTAGTGGCACAACCCCCCGTTGGCACCAGTTCGCTCCCTGCTCACCCGACGAGAGCTGGAGCTGCGGGACGGGGCTCGTCAAGGACCTTTCCACACTTAGACAGAGCTTGTAAAAACGATGAAGAGTGACTTTTACATGGGTAGGTTGTTACAGAGCAAGGGGAAGGGCTGTAAACTAAAAAGGGGAGATTTAAATTAGATGATAGGAAGAAATTCTTCCCTGTGAGGGTGGAGAGGCACTGGCACAGGTTGCCCAGAGTATTTCTGCATGTCCCATCCCTGGAAGTGTTCAAAGCCAGGCAGGACGGGGCTTGGAGCAACCTGGTCTAGTAGGTGGTCTTTAAAGTCTCTTCCAACGCAAACCATTCCATGACCCTAAGAGGCAGGATGGGATGGGACAGCCCAGGGATGGGAATGCAGGGAGTGTGTCCCAGGGAGGGAGCAGAGCTGCAGGAGACCCGGTACACGTGGCTGACGTTTGTGCCATCCTTACCCACTGTGGACACAGCAGTGCCACGGCCAAGTGGCACTGCTTGTGCTGGAGTGGGGAACCACCTGCTCTGCCCCTCTGGCTGCAACGTGCCCCTGGACCAAGGGGCAGCCTGGAGTCCTGCAGACACCCACAGCCCCTGGGGACACATCCCAGCTGCTAGGGAAGCTCCTGTTGCACAGAGGCCCCTGCGCTGCCCCTTCCCTGGGATGCTGCTGGGAGCTCTGCCTGCACTGCCGGGAGGAAACAGGAAAGAGGCCTTGGGGCACCTGCTTCCCTCGCAGGCAGGTCCGGCCGGGATCTGTGTTGGGCTCTGCCGGGAGCTGTGTCTGTCCGGGCAGGACAGTGGGGTGCAGGCAGGGCCAGGCTGGAGGAGCTGCTTCCTGTACTTTCTGCCCACGACTGTCTGCCCCAGGACCCTCTTGCAGGTGTTGATTGTGGCCCCCTGCCATCCCCCTGGTGCTCGGGCAGGGTCTGGGGGCCAGGATTGGAGTCCAGCCCAGAGCTGTGCAGGTCACACTGTGGGAATGGGGCCTCTCCTGGGGGATGAATGTGGGGACCTGGTCCATCCATGGGTCTGGATGCCATGCTCCCCCTTTCATATCCTGCAGGCTGTGACCAGGACCATGTCCCCTGAAGCTGGGGAGCAGCATCCCACTACGGGATGATCCATGAGTTGGCCTGGCCCCAGGTCCCCACGCGGAGTCACCCGGAGCTCCCTGTAGGGCAGAAGGGACTAGAGCAGTGTCTGTCCCTATCCACCGTGAGGGCTGGATCCAGCTCCATTCCCTCCTTGCATGGCTGGTCCATGGCAGCTCTGCCAGTATCCCCAGTGTGAGAAGTGCCCTTCGTGGATGGGCCCCTCCAACTGCCCCCCTGCAGGGACAGGAGCTCTCCCGGAGTGCTTGGCATGGGGTCCATTGCAGAGCCCCCCTGCCCTGCCTGTCTGTCCTCATCCCACATCCTGCAGGAGCTGTCTGGGCTCCCTGGCCCGGGGCTGCGCCGCGCTGCCAAGCCCTGTTGGTTTTGGCTGTGCCCCGTGTAATGCAACATTTTTTCCCAGAGCCTTTAGGAAACAGACTCGCATTTTTTCCCTTCCTTCCCGCGGTGTTTTGGCCTGGCTGGGGATGGGTGGGTGGCCGTGGGAGCCGGGTCACCCACCGGGCACCGCGATGGCCGGCGGTGTCACAGGTGGCAGGATGGGCAAGAGGGCACTGGGAACCCCCGTGTCCAGGACAGCTCGGTGGGATGCGGGCAGGACACCCACAGCACATCGCTCGGTCTGGTGGGACATCCAGTTGTGGGTCTCTGACCCACTCCAGCAGCCCAGAGCTAGTGGGGGTGTGGGGCTGGGGGCTGCAGGCTCCATCACTCCCGCACAGCGAGGGCACCCTGGCCTTTGATGGATCCCCTCCAAATCAGCAGGGAATTAAATGCCTTCTCGGGGGCAGGGCCATAGGGAGCAGGTGCCCCCGGCCGTGGCTGTGGCCCCGGGGCTGAGCGGGTGCCGGGAGCGTTCCCGGCGGTCGGGAAGCGGTTAACGCACAGCTCGTACAGTAAACACTTTGTCTGGGGGCTCTGTCCGGGGGGCTCCGCATTCCAGGGAAGAGGCTGGGATCGGGGGGCTGGGCTGAGGCTGGGCTTTCCGAAGGGTTGGACATGGCTCCTGGCTCCAGCGGCAGCAAAGAGCCTCTCTGCTCACCCAGGACCCGCAGCACCCATGGGACGGGACTCTCAGGAAGCGAGGGAGTGGGTGGCTGCCCTCCTGACCCTCTCCCGTGGTTGTGGATCTGGGCACCTTGTGTCGGGCCCTGTCCCTGCCTCCCTCTCCCAGCCCTTGCCAGCTTCTGTCTGGCTCCAGGATCCCACTCCTCAGCCAGAGCCCTGTGCCAGGGCCAGCTCCAGGAGGTCCCAGCCATGGCTTTCCGGCACAGCCGCTGGCTGGTGGTGACTGAGCCTGTGTGTGGCAGCCAGGAGGAGGTGAGGACATATTCTCCAGCACACATGACGAGTGATTTAATGCTGGGTAAATGCTTCTGTCTGGGAAAACCTGACCCTATGGGAGCTGTGTTCATCCCGTGTGGTCTCTGCAAGATGGGACAAATCCTGTTTCCTTCCTGCGTGCTGTGACCAGGAGGGACGGCGGTGGCTGAGCCCTGGCTGGACAGCGCAAAGGCAGGGAGGGCAGGCTGGAGTTAGTCAGGTGAGGCTGTTGCCATGTCCCACCTGTTCCCTGGGGTGGAGGTTCCTCCATGCTCTGGTTTCTCCAGGCTGAGTGCTGCTCCTGGCAAGGAATCATCTGTGGGGAATCATCATCTGCATTTGAATCCCTCACTCCCTCTCCTGCATCCCAATCTCTCTTCCATGGGGCCCACATCGGAAACTGAGGCAGGAGGTGCCCAGGGGGCAGTAGGTGCCTGGTGCCGGTGCCCCTGGCACACCCATACCTGGGTCCCCACACTCCGCCAGGACCAGTGCTTGGCAAGACAAGGACAGCCCTCCCTGTGCCAGTGCCTGCCAAGTCCAGCACTCTGGGAGCCAAGAGCTGGTGCTGCCAAGGCCCTGCCAGGACCACCCACAGGTGACACTGAGGGTACTGGATGGGGACATGGAGGGCGCTGGGGTCACCATGGCTCATGTGCCGTGTCGGCCACAGACACGTGGATGTGTCCCTTCTGTCCCTTGAGGCACGTGGGATCCTTCACAGGGGACTGGTGGCACAGAAGGCAGTGGGGCTGGAGCTCTGACACTTGTACCTCCCCAGGGACACGCACACAGAGTCCCGGGATTTCTTTGGCTGCCCCGGGCTCTGCTCCCACAGGATCCGCGCGGTGGAGCCGGAGCCCTTCACCGCTCCCTCGGGCTCAGGGCTGTGAATCACAAGTTCGGCACGTGACCAACCTCATTTGCAGCTCCTGTTAATTGAAGGCGACGCTGAATGACTCGTTTGTGTCCCCCGTCCACAGGCCGGGCAGGAATCCTCCTCCTGCCGGGATGGGTGGCAGGTCTGCGTGGCCAGCGAGGGGAGCACCCCTTCCCATCCTCTTGGCACCCAGTTCCATCCCAAACTGAGCAGACTCATATCTGAGTGTTAAAAAGCCCTGTCAAGTAGGGCCCATTCCTGCCCTCCCTCTCTCCCTCCAGGGTCGTGGTGGCCACGCATGAGGTGGCAGGTTGGGCTGCACCAGGGCAGGGTGGCGGGCGGCAGCTCCGGGTTCCACACACGTTGCTTTTCCAATGTCTTTTTGCTGAGTGTGAGGCCTTTTCTGGTCCCAGGCAGGCAAGAGGTTCCCTGAGCTGCTGTGTGTCACTTAGCAAGGGACAGTCACCCCAAGGACAGCAGAGATCCCTGTGGCAGGGAGGGATGCTGGAGCATGTCAGGGACCG